AGGAAAAAGTATGCTAGAGCCCGAAGCATATTACATAAAATCGCGATAACTTCCGGCTCCATGTCCGTGGCGTTAACAGGCACCGGCGTTGCCACCTCACTTACCGGACCTGGAATAGTCGTTGGCGTTCCTTTGGCCAGCGTTGGAGCCGTCTGCGGCATCGTTTCCGCTGTTACGACGGGTATTATGAAGCAATTGTCCTGTAAGATATCCAAGCACGACACACACATAGCCCTAGCAAAAGCAAAGGCTAACTCCATCGCCGACTTGGTCTCCAAGGCTTTTCGGGACCGCAAAATCGACGACACGGAGTTCTCTTTGATCCTCGCGGAGGAAAAGAAATACGGGGAGTTAAAGTCGGGTAATAAAAAAACAATCGTCAAAGATCTTTCCGACGAATCTCGCAAAAAGATCTACCAAGAAGCAAAGGAGGAGCTACAACGAAAACTCGCTCAATAAACATCTATTTTGAAAAGAGCGTGGCAGGGTTTCGTTTACATATTGAACGTCAGTCGCTACCTTCTTGGGATCCATCCTAACAGCGGGTGGTTGGGGTCTATTTTGTAAAATATGTCGTAATTTACGTCGGGGTAATAAGGAATATCCTTATCCAACCGACAAAACATCCACTCGGCTCTTTGCATGTCTGGGGCATCAGGAATAGGGTTACCGGTAATTTCAGACAAAAGATAGGGAATAGCTTTGTAATATTTCCCCAGCTTTAATTTCTTCAGCGTTTTTCTGAGATTTTGTGGCGTTGGTTCTTCTAAATGGCCTATGATTTTCTTCTTTACTTCGTCGTCTAAATATACCGGCCGATGACCTTGAATGTGACTCATCCAGTCTCTGAAGTATTTTATTCTTTTGTATGGGGTCTTCTTACGGCCTCCATTAGCGTAATACTGCTCTCTGGTAGCATTTGGCACGGCATTACGAATATTCTTACCACATTCGTAACACTGTGCTGACGTGTCGTCTTCTATTTGCATCTTCTTACCACAACACCAAAAGGGTTGTGGCTTAGGTACGCTAACTTTAGGTCTTAGACAAATTATGCAAAAGTCGTTAACGAACTTCTTACATTCGTGCATCGTATATTTATAAGATTTTTTTTTTTACCTCCGTTTGCAGTACCCAAATATAGCAGCAGTAAGGACTTTTCGCGATGCCACCCGATCGCGCAAGACCCCCTGTAGGGCCTCGTCACTGCGGGTTATACCCGTGTCATTTTTGGGGGTGTGCCGGCGATTCGCGTGTCCCCCTTACTGCTGCTCGTAACTCCTAGCTCCAACTTGCCCCTTTAGGCCACAATGTTTAACAAGGTATTTAATAGCTTAAAAAATACGAATCTTATCATCTTACCTTCAACGACCGCCAATGTCCACGTGCAGTTTTCGCTACCATTTCGATGCAATACATCTCTTACGGTTCGTACTTTAACATCTTGGCTTTGCTCGGAATCAAGTCTAGGTAAATAATTTAATTGTCAAACATAAATAAACCTATAAATCGCGTTGCAAAACAAC